GTCCTTCTTAGCAAGGGAACTCTTCAACTAAGATATAATATCCCCCAGTTCAGACATCTTCTTTTCATAACGAATCTGCTTGCCCAAGAGCTTGCTAGTCAAATCAGCATTCTTCTTCTCCAATTCGCTGAGTTGAGCAGAAGAGTGGGCAACAATAAACGAGTTCTGGATGGCCTCAACAACAAAAACTACTCATTTTTTAAGCAAATGAACAACCGCTTCCTTTTGCTTCTCCAAGGAAAGACTTGAGAATGTGCTAAGGTCACCAGCCTGATGGATATCATCATCCAGCTTGACACAAGCAGACGAGCTTGACAGGAAGTTCGTCTTAAGCAGATCAGACACACCTGCATCCCCTACAGGGTTGGACTTGTCAACCTTGGGATCAGTCGCTCGCATTGCCAAATAACCCTTTCTCCTGAGCAGAGGACTCTTTGACCTTCTTAACTGCTGCCATCCTCCCTTCCAAGGTAGTCAACGACGCCGAATCAACTCCATGCTTAACTGCTCGCTACTCAACAGCTGGATCGCGATGGTTAGGCGGATGAGCAGACATCCCAGTTCTATCTTCTTCCCTTGACCGGTGCAAATGACTTGAATTTTGGAGAAGAATATCAGCATCTCTTTGCCTCTCAGCAAGTGAGCTGGTTATGGAGTTGACCTCTTCACGGGGTAGATCACAGTCTCTGAGCTTGTCAGTAAGAGACTTGAGTGGAACTTCCCGGATGTTTCGCATACCGCCAACCTTTTTGCTATCTGTGCCGATGAGATGCTTAACCCTATCAGATGATGGGGGAGCATATCCTACTTTAGTCTTCGAAGCAGAAGGGACCTCTTTCAAGGAAGACTTGGTCCCAGCAGAAGGAAGTCTTGGCTTCTTTCTCAACAGAGACACATTCCTCGCCCACGAAGTCGCAACTTCATCTCTTGAGGACTTGACGTCAGCCTTTCTTTTTAGGGGGATTCGACAAAACACTCCTCCTCTTCAGTAGGCATATCATCAAAGTCTGAACCATTCTGCTTTCATCTCTCAACATCCTGGGCAGGGGGCAGACCACCAGCTTTCTCCCGATACTTGCTCAATAGCCAGCACCACTCACGAAATTCAAAGCTCGATCGACCTTAACCATGTCTGACCCAAGGTCTAGTCTCTTGCAAATATCATTCTCTACAAGTAGAAGATAGAAATTAGTCAGTCACACATCAAGAAATTCAAAAAAATAAGGAAGCATATCGAAACAACAATATGACGTACCGTCACAATAAGTGATGGGAACAAGGGGACCATCGCCAACATCACCTTCCCACCGTCTGCTGACTTCAAGCACATCTGCATGCCATAAATGATCTCCTTGGCTGAAACTGTCAAACAGCTTGGCATTGCACACACAGACTTGAGTATACTTCTTGTAGCGCCTCACTTCGAAGAAGTTAAAGAACTCTTGCATCTTCAGATCCAACTTGAAGAAGCGGCTCAATTTCTTAAAGCACATGATCGCCCAGTAGACGTTCAGAGTACATTGACTTGGAGTACACTCCATGGCACAGAACACCTCTTTGAAAAACTTTGATAGCGGGAACATGAAGCCCAAGGAGAAATAGACGGGACGGAAGGTGATGATTCTAGCATCTGGATCATTCGCATCCACACAAGGTGCATCGTCAGACGAAAACTCCACCAGCTTAACATGTAAGTCATCAAGTATGGGAGAGGCATAAGTGGCACCCCACTTCTAGAATTGAGCTTCAGACATAACGCAGTGCAGATTAGCCACAAATCTCTTCTTGTGCACTTTGGAGCCTCCCCACAGATACAAAGGCACTTGTGAGCTTGGAAGACATGGTCAATGAACAGTTGCAAAAAGGGAAGAAAATTACAAGTCAAATAGCATGTCAAAACCCTAGAGTTGCAATTAAAAAATTTAAAAAAACGGTAGCCGCAACTAATGACCACCTTGGCAACAGTTGCTGTTCACCGCGAGGCCTACCTGAAGCACAAAAACAATGAGTGACGAGCTCAATAGAAGTACAACAATAGCCATTGCCGCCTACTGGGGCAGCAACCACCGCTGCGCCACCACCATCTGAGGTGACCACGCTGCATCATTCCACAACTGTGTGATGCCAACGCAGCTCACGCTAGCCAGGTCCTCGCTGTTGTAGGAAGAAAAGAAAAAAAAAACTCGCTGTAGGCGTCGCCACCGCGACACCACTGCCGTCGTCGACGCCTCTAGTCACGGTGACAACTAGCAGGATACCCAACTAGTCCTCGCCGCGAAGAAGAAAATATGAAGAAAAAAAAACATGCTTGACTTACCTTGGGATGCACGACAACTCCTCTCTTCGACGAGCAGTACAAATTCTCCAAGATCTCTCTCAAGCTAGAAAGTAGAGAAGACAAGTTTACAATTTGAAGAAGAGTGAAGAGAAACCTTGTATTTATATAGGTTGGGCATCCTAGGTCAATGTGGAATCACAAGCCTATTCCCATTGGGAACCCAACTCCAAGGAAAGTCAAAAGCCTACTCCGATTGGGAGCCCAATTTGTGAAAAGAGTCAAACTCACAAATTAGAGAACATTTTTCATCTCCTACATACCTCACAAGTGCCATGCAGAAGTTGGGGGGCATTTGTGGGAGTAAATAATTCGGCTTCCAATCACAAGACGCCACGTGGACAAGAAGAATATCTCCTAGGTCAATTAATTGAGTCAATTTATTTGGCAAATTAATTGATACTAAAAATAGGGAGATTATCTTAAATATGGGATATCCTAATTTGGAGATATCATCATCAAATTAGGAGATTTGAAAGAGAAACCAAAAACTGACCAAAAGTGTTATCTGGGATATAAGTGGGCAATAAGTATGTATTTATAGGTGATATTTGCAAAAAATTTGGGGAGAGGTGGTATTTTCAATTAAAATTATGAAAGGGGTGGCATTTTGAGCTATTTCCCTTTACTAATTGGGTCGAGTTTGGGTTAAGCATTACTGACACGACACGAACCCGACACGACCTTACCGAATGCGGTAAATTGAGCCCAAAGGGTTTAACTAGAATTTCTCCGTTCTTTCCCGATTCAGTAAACTGTTCTGTGTATTAGAAAATGTTATTTACTGCTCATCCAGAGACAGAAACAGAAACAGTGATAAGCAAGGGCGAAGCCAATTAAGGCCTAGGAGGGTCATATGACCCTTCTGACCCAATGGTAACACTTACAGTTTAGGCTTTTGCTTGCTCATTATTTTCAACTTGACCCAGAGAAAAGAAGGCATGAAGGCGGAACCACACTAAGGGCTACAATGGGCTGTAGCCCAGTCAGTGGCGGTGTACAGATTACCTTATTTCCACTTTCAACATTTAAGTAAATGTCTTTGTCATTTTACTTTTATTTATTTATATATTACTCCATTTACTTAAGTCATTTTACTTTTATTTATTTATATATTACTCCATTTACTTAAGTCATTTTACTTTTATTTATTTATATATTACTCCATTTACTTAAGTCATTTTACTTTTATTTATTTATATATTACTCCATTTACTTAAGTCATTTTACTTTTATTTATTTATATATTACTCCATTTACTTAAGTCATTTTACTTTTATTTATTTATATATTACTCCATTTACTTAAGTCATTTTACTTTTATTTATTTATATATTACTCCATTTACTTAAGTCATTTTACTTTTATTTATTTATATATTACTCCATTTACTTAAGTCATTTTACTTTTATTTATTTATATATTACTCCATTTACTTAAGTCATTTTACTTTTATTTATTTATATATTACTCCATTTACTTAAGTCATTTTACTTTTATTTATTTATATATTACTCCATTTACTTAAGTCATTTTACTTTTATTTATTTATATATTACTCCATTTACTTAAGAGCTATGAACTAGCGTGGTTTATATGATTTAATGTTTACTTTTATTTCTACAAAGACTATAGAAATTGTAAGTACGTACCCAAAAAAAAAAAAATCATTAAATTTTAAGCTAATAACTTTAGCTAGCCCACCCGTTGAAAAATTTCTGGTTCCGCCCATATGGAAGTGGGTGGTAGAGCAACTGGTTTGACCTTCTACCACGTAAGTGTTTTTATTCATGTTCAGTTTAATTAGCAACATCTTCCAATATTGTCTTAAAACCCATTAAATATTTTTGGAACAACAACCATCAAAGTTTTCTTATATAATTGAACTTATTCTAAAATATTTATGTAGAAAAACAATGGATACTTAAGATTTTAGGTTGTTAATCTATTATCTCATAGTTTTATTCTCATGGCACATCCTTGTATGCATTTTTCTTCTCCTCTAAACCATCCTAGTCCAAGTCTGGTGGAGGTATGGCTTTTCCATTTATCTTGGCTAATAATGTTGACCCTCCTTGAGAGAATTCCTGGCTACGCCACTGGTGATAAGTGTGTGATTTTTTGGTAACCAAATAAACAAGAATCTGATATATAAACACATTCTCAAATGAGTCATCGTCTCCACAGCATCCTCCTCGGCATCACCATACGCACCCATCGCTCCATTCCACCCCACCTAATTTGCAGGTTCCTCGCATGCCAAATCTCTTGGCCTCTACGTGTTTGTTTGTTTATATGCTTATTTATACAGTTTTGGGTTCTGCGTTTTGTTTGCAGGGCTTGGTTTTGTAGCGGTAGATTCAGAAAGGCTAAAAATGATGGCTCATTAAGTCAATATATACTTCATATATGAAATCCCATAAAATCAAGTTTTCTTATTTGATGTGTGAGGAATAAAAGCCGCCAAAAATTATCTTCAAAAAATGATTATTCCGAAAACCCATATTTCATACTTAGTCAATATTTTTACATAAAACAATTTTTCATGTATGATATGAATGCATGAAGGAACTAAGGTCAATCTAGATAAAAAGCCTGAGATGTTCAATCCACTATGGTGTTCAACCCTATTTGGTTTATGTTAAAACTTATTGAAAATTAGTTTATGGAGGTATGAACTAGCGTGGTTTATATGATTTAATGTTTACTTTTATTTCTACAAAGACTATAGAAATTAAGATTCATTATTTTTCTTATTTAAAGTTTTTTGGGTTTTTTAGGTTGGAAATTTATGCTCAAATTTTGTGTGTTGTGTTTTAAATAGCGACAAAGTAAGATAATTGAGAGCAGTTTTCTTCCATTGAATTTTTTTTTGAATGTGCAGATTCCATTATTGTTTCTAGAGGGAATTTTGTTTATGTAATTTCATGTCAGGTAATAGCAGATTTTGATGCCACACTAACAAAGCACCGGGTCAATGGTTGTCGGGGACAAAGTAAGTGTTTTGTGGTCTTTGAACTTTATTCTTTATTATCACTATCAGTTTGAAAGATTTATTTATTTTATTTTTTATATTCATTGAGAATCCGGAATATGATAAGAAAAGGCAGGAATTATATGAACATTATCATCCGTTCGAATTCTCCCCGACAATTCCAATTGAAGAGAAAACTAAGCTTATGGAAGAATGGTATTGTTTGGACCTGGAAACTCGGCCCATGGGATCGACTGAAGGAACAACCTCTCGGCCAGGGCAACTGACCGAGAAATGGTCAGTTGCTTTCTCGTAGAACAAGAAGAGATTCACGAAGGTGAAGTCGTCACGGCCACAGTAGGCTTTGTACGAGAATCAGCTGCGCGGCCGAGGTAGACGATCGAGGGAAGCCGCCACGTGTCATCAGGGGCCCACGCTTCATTTAAAAAGTATTATCCCTGACTACAGCAAGGGATGAATTTGCATTTAATGCGCGAAGAGGGAAATGATTGAAGTCAGGGTATGGTGAGTAAAATCAGGGTGATTAGGTGCGAAAATCTTACGACTTGTAAGATTAAGCCACCAACCATCACACCAGAGCATTAAATGCTCCTCCAAAGCCCAAGACGCAGAACCCACGATCAGGGCGGCGACTGGTATTTATGGGGGTCACATCACCATACTTCACGTTCCCAAATGTCGACTCGACTACCCAATATCTCTGATCAGCCTCATCATGCAGATTTTCAGCCTTGTTGTCTTCTCAAGACCTCTCCTATAAATACCGAGCTCCAACTACGTTTAAAGGGTTCAAACACCAAACACAAGCCTCCAACGGAGCAGATTATACTTTCCTGTCATTTACCTTATGTCATTTATATTCCTGTAATGCACTTTCAGTATCTTTACTTGCTTTCTTAGGAGTAGTGACAACTTGTAGGAAAATCCATTCATCAATATATCATACAACTCATGGTTTTCAAGGCGCCGGAGCACCATCCTTGTTATTTTTCCATTCATCCCACATATCATACGACTGTTGCAATCCAACGACGCGCCGGAGCACCACTTGAAAATCCACCACTAACAACCACCATTAACGACCTTGTAGCTCAGGCCGTGAACCCGACGGCCGAGATCAGTTCCTCTCTCGCCCACAATCGCTCCGATTAGAAGTTAAACTCAAACAAGCGCGCAACTCATCTATCCACCCACCCTCACCATCCTCGAAAGCACAGTAAACCGTGCTGGCATGCCCGCGTACAAACGCACCGCACCAAAGAAGGACGACCCGTGTTGACGCAGATCCCCTTGGCCCGGGGCACCAGGCCGTGAGATCTGCAGAGCCCAACAGGTATTTAGCCTACTTAATTGAATCTTAAGGACATTGCCCGGGATTGAATCAAAATGAATTCTTATGTTGTTATATGCTTCTGGGTAGTCTCTATTATGATAACCTAACTGGCATGAATTGGTTCACCTGAAAGTTCATGTTCATATGGAGCTATAACAATGTTACCTCAGTCCAAGGAGCTATAATATGTTACCTTAGTCCAATAATTGGATTTCAGATCACATTAATACTGATTGCATGGATACAGGTGGACAAAAACTCATGGTCTCTTAATTGAGGGAGGCCTTACCTATGATGGAATAAGGCAATCTGTCATTTACTCCACAATTGCTGTTGTTGAACTATTTGAGTTTTTGGAGATAAGTTTAATTTTGCTGCAATAATTATGTGAGTAACTGGCTACATATATGTCCTGGGATAGAAAGAATCCATTGAAGATTTTGATCTGTTTAATGTTTGAGTTCATTCATAATGAATTAGTTTATGTTGGCTTGGTCATTTGTTCTCTGATGCAAGTCCTAAAATTAACTCAGTCTAATTTTTTTCCTTTCATTTTTTTAGTGGAAAACAGAGAAAAACTTATTCTCATTAAGCTATACCATTACTGTTTCCCTCTACCCACTTTTGCAGGAAAGAGACATTCCCGTTCTTATATTTTCTGCTGGACTTGCTGATATCATAGAGGATGTTAGTTAAGTTTTGTGGCCATATTTCTTGTCATTTTAAATTTCTAGGTCTATTTCGCAACTTTCTTGTGCATTAATGCCTTTTCTTCTCGTTGTTCCAGGTCCTTAGGCAGAAGATTCACAGACTTTTCAAAAATGTGAAGATAGTCTCAAATCGGATGGTATTCGATAATAACGGTCACCTTGTATCTTTTCAAGGTATCCACTAATGCTGAATTGTTTTCACACTATAAAGAGAAATTATAAAGATAATGTCCTACTGTGGTATATCAGAAACAAGTTGTTCTGAAGAAAATATGTTTTGTGTTTATTTAAAACTTGTTTGTTTTTTTGTTTTTTTGTTTTTTTGTCCAGTGTCAAGGCTGACAATATGGGTAGGCATCCCCTCTCCTGAACCCACCAAACCTTAGCTGGTCCAAAACCTAGGACTTGAAACACATCCTTGCATTTAGAAGAGGGCTGGCTTATGCTACATTGCTACTAGGCTCTAAGGCCATTGGAAAATGGCACTAACGTACAATTTCCACTTTTCTTTTATCTTTCATTTGTTTAAATAACTTTATCATTTTTTCCTCGACACAAAAAAGTAATGTAGCAAATAAAAGTAATTATTTGGTGAAGTTTTGTTTTTATTCCGGTGAGTTATTTCGGTATTAAATGAAAGCTGGGTACTTCATAAGTTAATGGTGCCTGTGCAGTCTTATATGGTAATTTAGTCTTAATATTTTTTTTGGTTTGGTTCAAGTCCCTTACTACTATGAGTTCCGTTCTTGACAATGCGGAGTGGCGGATCTAGAAATTTTTTAGGGAAGGGGCGATAAAAAAAAGATTAAAAGCTCAAAAATAATAAAATAATTAGACAACCAAATACCTTTAGAATCTAATGAAGATTAATCTAAAAAAAATCAATTTCAATCGGTCTAATTGAAATGCATATCAAATTACCAAAAGGTAGCGTCTTTATTGTATGAAACCAGACTACACGAAACATATCGTTTCATTAAAAAAACCCACACATCTCAATCCGACATCATTCACTTAAAACCTAGAGGAAAACAAAAGTTGAGTCAGGGTTGGGTCTTCTTCTTCGCGAGGAATAAGCCATTGACGGCGCCGCACAGAGCTTACATCCCATGGCAACCACAGCTGTTTTGGGCATTAGCAGAGGGGCGTTTTCAGGCACCTCGATTAGGTGATAATATAGATGCGCCTACTTATAAGAATGCCTCGGTAAGACGAGAAGAAATGTGCTGCTTGTGGGTGATCACATTGGTGACCTGGGAATGTCTGATGGCTTGAACTATGAGAATAGAATTTCCGTGGGATTTCCGTAAGTAATAATTTATTGTACTGCATACTTAATATATATCATAGAATTGACGAGTTATGAATCTAAGAGTAACTTTTTCATAATTCAGTACTCGTGTTAACTTATCTTTCAAGCAACTTCTTCAATAGCAAGTAGAATGCAAAATGGATATCTCTCGACAAATATATTCTTCATTTCAGAATATATTGTTCTAAATCTGCAAAGAATTTGGAGTAAAACTGTAGTTAATTAGTTACTTGTGAAACATCATTGTCAACTCTTATGAGTTCAGGCTGCTTCCAAAAAGCGGTGTATAGCTAAACACTTATGTCATAAATATTCTTTAAATTTTGATTTCTGTAATCCCAATATTAAGAACTGTTTTACTGGAGTCCTTTGATGTTCTATATCCTGCTTCTGCACTGCATCATGTTTTAAATTCCCTGGCATGGATGCTTCACGTCCAAACGTTTTGTTGTTCTAAAATTTAATATGCTTGCTATTGAGAAGCAGTTCCGTTTTCTATGTTTTTCTTATATGTTTTAGCAACTCTACCACAGTCAGTTTAGATGGTTTAAAAAGGGGGAAAGGGCAAATTCTTTACTTATTCATGGTCACATTTTGTTAAATATAAACGGGGCAAATGTTATGCTTGTTCACCTTTTGTCACATTATAAACAGGGCATGTGAGATGCAGACTCACACAATAATCCTATATTCCGCATTTGTTTTTCTTTTTTCGTTTTCTTTTGTTTCTTATCTTTATCTAATGGTATTTTTAATTAAAGTCGCAATTAAAAGCCTGAAATAGATTTTTTTTTTTGTGGTCAGTCAGTTACAGTTTAAACATTTATATATATATATATATATATGAGATGACCGAATGTAAAACTTCTCATACTTTTAGCAGAACAGGAAACATAATAAACAGGGTTAGTTGTAAGGATGAATATGCCATCAACATTAAATATGAGTGGCCTGCTTGAAGAGAAATTCAAACTGGTATGGTGGATCAAAACCTGGTAACCCGGGGGATTATCCATTTTTCGGTTTTCAAGAGATGGGTTTTTCAACAATCCTTTACAGCATATAATTTCAGTCTTTTGACATTTTAGCCCATTCCAACTGGCTCACTTTTAC